GTCCCCCCCCCCCCCCCCCCCCCCCCTTATTTAGTGAAACTTGAATGCTGGGGAAAATTTTCCAGACTGCGAGCAGACGTTGCTCTTGTGCCACCATGAAGATTATGGCAGCACAAAAGCCAAGCAAACATGGCCATGCCTCTTATCTTGCCCAAAAGAGTGCCTGGGATTATTTGTGGTAATAGTTTGCGCCTCCTTTTTGCAGCAGATGCCTATTTGTTCATGGCTAGAGAGTACAGGTAGACAGGGGCTGCCTGCACTCTCCAGGTGCTCCTGATCCTGCAGGATAACAGGCCTGGGAGCCTGGTCCCAACCCAGGGCACATGTATACAGATGTGGAGTGGGAAACCCTCTGGGCTTATTTACTAGGGGTGTGTGAAACGGGCCATATTCAGAATCGGATTCCTGAACTGGGGACAGTGATTCAATTCATTGGTTTGGATCACTATCCCCGATTCGATGCGGCTGAATCTGAAGATTTGATGCCGATTCAGAGAATCGGTGATTTGGCCATAGACCCAGCTTTAAGTGTTTTTTCTACATACCTTGAGGTAAGAGGCGCAGCTTGTGAATGCTGCAATGGTGAGGTGGATCAAGCATCCCATAGGAGCGTGGGGGGCACCTTGCGTGCTCGGTGGCAGACCCGGAAGTACTTCTGGTCCACTTCTGGGTCCACCACCGAGCATGCGGGATGCCCCCCCCCCATGCCCTCCCTGGCTCAGCAGTTGGCTGTGGGGGGACCCCGGGTGCCCTCCCAGACCCAGGAGGCACCAGTCGCAGGGCTGGAGGTGCACGGAGGGGCCTGCCAGCGCACTCCCCGGCTGACCTGGAAGTGCTTCTGGTCCACTTCTGGGTCTGCTGCCGAGTGTGCTGAGGACCGCCCCTGCGCTCTTGTGGGATGCTTCATCCTCCCCAGCATCTCCAGTATCTAAATTGAATTAATTAAACTCGAATACTTCTGACACAAGCTATGAATATTATTAAAGTTTATTGGGTAAAAGACAGAAGATTTATTCTCTTTTCAGAAAGTCCAGAAAAATCTTCTGGGCTTCTTTTTGTTCTCCATGACCAGCCATTAGGCTAAAAGTAGGAGGTAGGTTTTTTGTTTTTTTTTTTGTTTTTTTTTTTTAAATTCCTGATCAGAATCTTCCAGCAATTTGTGGATTATATCCTTACAGGTTCAGTTTTCCTTGTTGAACCTCAGCCCCTAAAATAGCAAAATACAATTATGTCTATACTACAAAAAACTTACTGGCTAAAACTTGAGCTTTCTCCCAGCCCTGCTTTCGATTAGTCTCAAAAAGTGCAATTCAGGTAGGTGATTGTAAAATTTGAATATCGGTGTTCTTTCCAGGCATGTTTAAAAATTATATGTAGTTTGTCACCTTAGGTTTCACGTATCTGGGAGCAAGGGACCATAGGCTGGTGGTGCTCTGAAACGGCTGTCCAAATGACCTCATTGTTTCCTTGTACTTCCCCTAGCCGTAGCTATCTGTTGCATTTTGTCTTATATGGAACAATAGGAACATAGAGCTAGATTAAATTTCTTGAAGTCATCTATTCCAACTCTGCTCAGGCAGGATCATCCCTGACTAAACCATCCCAGCTAAGGGTTTTCTAACATACACTCACAAACTTCCAGAGAGGATGACTGTACTACCCAAGTAATCTTTACATGTGGATTTTTAAGCCATTTGAGGCATCTTTTAATAATACAAATGCATAGATTGTTTTGTAAGCATCACAGGATACAAAATGTTGTGTATAAATGAGTTTAAATTACTTTTGGTATATTCAGAAACATGAACCTTCAGTCTTGTGCATAACAAAGGTATCAGACATGAATTAATAATTCACAGTTGGTCTTACTGCAATTGAAACTAGCACAGATAAATTGTAATGCTTATTGTACAACAGGAACTTTCATAAGCTTATTCACATATTCTGTTTCTTTTAAATGTTTTTCCATGTTCTGCTTCTGAAATGTGTGTTGTTGTTTTTTTTATCCCTTTTAAGGATATTATCTACCAAATGATGATGGAGAATTTTACCAGTTCTGTTATGTAACCCATAAGGGTGAGATCCGTGGAGCAAGCACTCCTTTTCAGTTTCGAACCTCTTCCCCTATTGAAGAATTGCTAACCATGGAAGATGAAGGAAATTCTGATATGTTGGTGGTGACCACTAAAGCTGGACTTCTTGAGGTTTGCTTCAACAAACATTCTAAAATACTATCCACATCCTTGTGTTATGTTTATTTCTGGCTTTTTCTGAAGAACTTGAATTACTCTTTATAAAATTATGAAGCTGAACAGAGAATGTTTAAAAAACAAAACAAAAAAGGATGCTTAGCAGTCTTTAGTGCAGGACTCATTGCAGAAGATGCTTTTAAAATAAATACAGAAAATTTCATAAGTATCACAAGGTACAAATTATGCTGTAAAAGTCTCTCAGAAACATTGGACCTTCAACCTTTTGCGTTACGAGGTCAGCATGGCAGAGAGCATGCTATTAAAAAGTACATAGATTGTTGCCCCCTTATTTCCTCCATTCCAAATGAATACATGATCCAAAGTATTCATTGTCACACTTTTTTGAAAATATATCTCTGTTCCATGTGAAAGTGCTCCAATGATAAAGCAGAAGAGAAATAAAAAGGATGTCACTATTTGTGGAGAGCTGCATAGCCTGAAAATCAAATTTCAAATGCCTGGCAGATGAGTAGGAGTCTTATTTTCTTTAAGTAGTGTTCTGTTATCCTCTGCTTTACAACCACTAAATAGATAGATTTGTTTGTTATAATGAAGATATGCTGATGAATATTTAACACATTTTACTTGTCTCTACTTCTATAGGTTGAAAAGTGCAGTTTCTTTGTTTGTGTGTGTGTAGTGGCTTAAAAACTATCTGGCATCTTCCTGTGCTTTTGTTTCTGACTTGCCTTCAGATGTCTTGTCCTTAATTACCATATACAAGACCAAGCTCCAGGCTTCCCCCATTCCCCTCCAATCAGCATGAGGAAAAAGCCTTTTATCTTATATTCAGGGCCAGTGTGCCAGGGGACAGGGAGAGGGGGCCCCTGCGCAGGATGCTTTGCCCCGCTCAGGCTGATCTGCCCCAAGCCGTGGGCCAAAGAAGTGATGAAGAAGAACTCGGCTCACGGTGGTGAAACTGGAAGTGCAACTTCTGGTTTTGCTTTTGCCATGTCCTTTGGATGCTGGTTAGTGGAGCTTTCTAGCTGATAAAGTGCTGGATAACACAGCTTTTGCTGTATTTAGATTCTGTACTTGGAAAATTCTAACAAATTTTAAAATTTTCCTTATATACAATTGAATTATTGGGTTGGGGTTTGTCTTATATTCAGGTCATCTTATATTTTAGTATATACACACTCACATGTAGACAAACATACTTGGTAGTTTAGGGATTTCAAAGGCTGTGGGAAAAGTTATACAGTGAAGAATCCCTGTCTAATCTTCTGTTCCTTGTTTGCTGTTTGGTGGAGAAATTGCCATTCTGATCCAATATGTATCCAAGATGGTAGAGAAAAAGAATATTTTTACTTGTAATTCTTGTCTGTGTTTCACCATCTCCTTCATTTTAGTTGTACATACTTTTAGGATTTTATGGAATTTTCTTGTGGAGAAATGGTAAGAATACTGCTAGATAGATTTTAACTCCTCAGCTGTTGTTAACTTTGTATTAAAAGCAATGGTTCTTCACCAAGGGTAGAGAGAATTTCACAAACTCGAGGGTAGATACGGCAAAATACAATTAAAATACAAGTTAAAAATGTGATTGGATATTAATTTGAATTAAGCTGATGCTTCTGAATTTCAAAAACTTAGGGAAGAGAAGATGGTGAGCTGAGGTAACAAAGAATGCTCACGTTTTTTTCACTTGTGCTCATTATGCCCTTGTTTGCCTGACATAATGGAAAGGAATTACAGTAGTTTATAGTTGCTTGATAGGAATTATGGGGGAAAAACAACTGCTAGAACACGCTTCGTCTGTTTTTATAGTTTAAAATCGAAAAAACAATGAAAGAAAAAGAAGAGTTGTTAAAGATAACTGCTTCTCTGGAAAAAGAAACAACACAACTGAGAGATCAAGTTGAAAGACTGGAAAAAGAACTTAACCATGAAAAGCAGAGATGTGACCAACTGCAGACAGAGCAAAAGGTAAGTTGTATAACTGATTAAAGCTGACGCATAATGCCTGTAATCCACTTTTTTTCAAGAACCAATTAAATTGGATGAAAATCGACTATCAAAAAACTTCAGCAGTTGGATAGACATTTACACTAGAATAGGTCAGTTCCTATTAACCTTCCGCCACTATTCCTTTTATGTTGTAAAATGGTTAAAATACTTCAGGTTTTTGGTACCAGGCTTGGCAGGATAATCGATTAACAATTGTTACCAGATGTTTAACATTTAATTGTAGAGTTCAGACTGGGAAAACTAGTTGATAATTTAAAGTTTGCTTGTGTTACTATAATATATGAAGAAAATATTCTGAGTTAATTCTTTCTAAGAAATAAGTTCATAGGACACAGCAGTAGAAGGTTTGAGGAAATCAAATTTTTGGTCATTGAGAAACTTCAAGTCTCAGCAGGCAGTACTGTTGCAAAAAAATTGAAGGAATGAAAAGTTGTTGAGGTGGCTTTTCTGAGGGGCTTGTCAGATCTAAGAATAAAAGACACTGATATTAAATTAGGAATAGCAGAGAAAACTTTAAAAATTTAAAGTGTGTTTAGGCCAGCTTTGCCAAGGAAATATGCACGTAGCAGATAAGCTAATTAAATTAATTAGGAGTACATACATCTTCACATGTATTTTGGAGGAAACAACATACTCAAGAGAGAGTCCTAATCAGTTATTAAAATATATTGCTTTTTATTATTTTGGGAAAATAAACATAATATAGAGAACTTTGAAGCAGCGATATAACTTAGTGGTGGAAAAAAGTAGTTCATAGCATTTCTGAAATGTTAATGCACAGATCAACAGTTCTGAATGGTATACATTCAGTAGTCAGGAGAGATTCTACTATTGATTTTGCTTAAAAATTGCAATTTACTTAGGAGAAGTCATGATAAAATGGACAGGCACAAAAGATTCAGAGGATAAAAATTTACCAATTTTGAATTATGGAAAAAGCTGCAATCTGTCAACTATTGTCCAGTGAATCTAACTTAAGCTTTTGTTAAAAAATGTAACAGATAAATAACTCTTTAGAAGATGAGCTGGGAAGTGGAAAATTGTGGTCATTTGAATGCTTACACATGTCCTTAGCTTCAAGCATGTATGTAAACCATTTAAATAATCCCATGGATTTCATATTCTTAAAGGGCATGATTACATAGTTGCAGGATGAGAACTTAATGGATAAAATCATATGCACTAGGTATCTGTTTATATGTTGACTACTGTGGTATCGAGGTACTTCAGTAAAATATCTGAAAAGAATTTCTCATCCAAATTTGGTTTTGAATATAAATGTGGACTGAAAATATGGAGGACTGTACAAAAAATGTAATGAAGACAATGCATTGAATTGGGGGTAGCTTTAAAAGGCAAGATAGATTTGCATTTTATAGACCTGCAGCCCAAATGCGTGGCCTAAATCTTATAGACCAAATATGGCTCATGGAGCTCTGGGTCTCCCCGTGGGTTAGGAAATTTGGTGGTGTGGCAGCAGTCGCCATTTAATACTGCCATCCTCCCCTGCTGCCAAATTCCCATGCTCCCTTCTCCCCGTGCAGTCAGATTGGGGCTAGGCTCCCTCCTGCCCCTCTCCACACTGCTGGATGGAGCCCCACCATGCTTGCCCCGGGTGCCAAATCAGAGCTGCTAGCTGGATCTGGCCTGTAGATGGACCGGGCACTGACCATCTGGCCTTCCAGGGAAGAATGTTGAGTGCTGCTATTAAAGGCCAACTAAATCACAGATGTATAGCACAGGCTTTCATAAGCAGTAGGCTTGCTTCATCAGATGCTGTGAAAGGACTGCAGGAAGCAGAGCTTCTAAATAGAACGCAGTGATCAGAATACAAATGGCAGAGAAGGTGGAAGGAAAAAAAGGAGGGGGACCACTAAGAGAAGCAAGGTGCATAAGACAGAAAAATAAAGCAGTTGACGTGCTGAGGGACCATTGGCAATGCAGTGCGGGGCACGTGCTCCCCCTCCCCCAGATTACTGCGGTTATGGTGGGGAGTAGACACGGGGCTGGGGCCAGCACCCGGCAGCTGCAGTGGTGGTGCAGAGTTGTACCTCCCCACTGGCAGCACTTCACACAAACATGGGGGTTATAAGAGTTAATCCAGGTAATAAAATGATAATCCATAGTCTTGGTTTAGACCAGGGCTGTCCAACTACTAAGCCAGTGGTTCTCAACCTTTTTAGACTCAAGGCACCCTTGGATAGTCTTGAGACACCCCTCAGAACTTGCCAGCTATTAGTTTTCACCTGTTTTGACTAGAGAAAAAAAGGAAGCAATTCTCTTGCAAAGAACATAGACCACAACAGGTAAAAATGTTTTTACCACTATGGGTTCTTATTTGATATCTCTGGGTTTATCACACAAGTCATGTTTGTACACCTAACAGTGCTAATATTGTGTGGCATTCTACAAAATCCTGTGGCACCCTGGTTGAGAATCGCTGTTCTAAGCGGTCAGAGGTTGCATACCCTGTGGGTTCTACCAGCATAAGCCAGGGTCTCTCCGGGCTGCATGCTGTGTGGGTACCCCAGCTTCCCCAGCTGTGGGCTCCTCTGCTACGCCGTACTGCACGAGAGCCGTGGGCTGCGCAGTGCCACCCTGCTCGCTGGGGCAGGAGCAGGAAGTGGAAGCCTGATGAGGGAGGGAGAGCCTGGAGACCTTGGTTGGCTGTTGCTGCAGCCAAACCAGTAGAGGAAGCAGTGGCTGTGTGGGAACCCAGGCGCAGCAAATTTTAATCCCTTGTGAGCTGCACGTGGCCTCAGGGCCACCGGTTACTCTAAACCAGGGCCGTCCATCTGGATGATGTCTTAGTCCGTAATTTCCCGTTCAAATGTTAAGTGTGATGCCGCAGAGATGGTAATTAAAAAATATATTCAGCACTTCTGTTAATGATTAAAGGAAATAAATGCACTGAATTTTCTGATTGTGCAAATTCAGATGGATTATGAACATTGAGGAGGGAATGCTGTTTGTCTGCAGGCCTAAGAAGTAGATAGCAAAGAGGGCAAGAAACAAACACTCCAAATTCTATTTCCGTGTTTTATATGTATATTACTGGCATAATTCAAGTTCTTTAAATAATGTGTTATAAAAATATGAAACAGAACAGAGGCATTCAAAAAAAACTTGTGATATCTAGCAGTCCCTTTTAATGCAGGGCTCATTGCAGAAGATGCTTTAAAACTAATATGGAGATTAGATTTATTGTCTTACACTCATCCAGGCTAAGGGGAAGATGTATTGAAACAGAGATGGATTTAAAGAAATCCATGGGGCATAAACAGACTTAACAATTATATTGCTATCAAGGTAGGGTGTGCAGATATAACAGCTGTATTACGTTTGTTTCATTTGGGGTCAAAGGTAGAATGATTTAACTAACTTCTATTGCTGGGGATCTTGCAGATGTACTGGATGCATCATAACAGCTGATGGAAGTTCCCCCTCCCTTTTTCAAAAGTTAAAAGGTACATTTGTCCATACCTGTGGTAAATAATACACCTGTGTGTGGCATATGAACATGAGGGGATTTTTTGTTTTGTTTAATAAAAGCCACTGAAGTGGGAAAGGCAGTATAACTTATACCTTGAATGAATTGGAGTTCTAAAGTGATTTTTTTTGTACTGGTGTGATGTAGTAGATTTATGATGTGGACTTCATAAAAAAGAAAAGACAAGAGCACATGTTCTTAAATTGCTCTGGAAAATATACTGTGGGGAACAGTCTTCCACAAGGAGGTAAAAGAGGAGATGGGTATTAACTTTGCTTCCATTTGTTTTGAGTGGAAATTGCATGCAGGTTTTGTTTTTGTGCACACAAATTATATGCACAAAAGCACATGCAAGTATATAGGAATGTGTGCTCATGCAATTATGCACACAATTAAAAATTTGCATCTATAACTACCTCTAAATTTGCATCTATAACTACCTTTTATTCTTCTAAATGTCTACTTCACTAGAACTTACTAATTTCTTTTTTGTCTCCTGTTGTGCCAGTTGACCCCATAAAAATGTCTAACTCTTGTATTTGAAGTATGTCAAGTAAATAATTGAGCCAGTATTGAAGAGTGCAATCCACACCAGTCCCATAAAGTTTAAAAAAAACACTTATCGAACAGGATTTTACCGGACGCTTTAGTTGGGCAGAATGGATAGGGTTAAACTGTGAAAAAGTGTACAGAATAGGGTTTGCTTCAAAGGGGTTGGGCTTTTTTTTGTTTGGGGGGGGGGGGTTGGTTGGTTTTGTTTTGTTTTTTTTCCTCTCTTCTAACCTTTGCTCACCTGTCATTATTAAAACACGGGTAAAACCCTGTTCTAATTTAGTTCAATGAAAACCTTCCATTGTGTGTAATAATTCTATAACCTGGAGAGAAGAAGGAATGAATAGTTTTGGTTTGTGGTTTAGTTTTGACAAGCTTTTTTTTTTTGCAGCAGAAGAGTCCTGTGCTAAATATTAGAAATAGAAAAAGCTCAACTCCCTTGATTGGAGAGTGAGGCTGGGTCCCATCAGAAGTAGGATTAGATAAGAAATGTTTTTCTAATTTTTGTTTTCACTTCTGTTTTCCATACCCGTTCAGTTTCCAGTTCTATTGTGCTAGCATTCTGTTAATTTCTCCACTATGACCTTTTATTGCGTTTCCAATATCATTTTTTTTTCTTCAGTATTACAGATGATATACACATCTGAGGAACTTGTATTATTAATTCAGGTTTCAAATTAGTCAAAACAACACAATTTGTTCTTAAGCAGAGAACTTACTAAAATAGTAATATGTTGCACTTTCTGTCCAGTATTTTGAAACCGAAAGATGCTGTTTTTCTAAAGATTTCATTCAGTGCTGGGATAATAATCATATAATCATACTTACGAGTGGAGTCTAATATGTGAGTTATCTTTGATTTAAGAACATATGCAAGGAGTTAAAGGATGACTTAAAATTATTTTTGGACAACAGC